AAGACATGAGCCTGTGGGGGCCATTTTACCGCATAACAATTTGGATATTATTACCTATTCATGATGGAAATAAATTACATATCTGCTTATAACTGCAATAATTGCCTGTGACCTTTTTTGAAGTATTCTTGTCACAGGAGCCAGGGCTCATCATCAGACCTTTTGCCATAGTTTCTGCACTCCTACATAGAGTCAGGGGAGCACACAGCTAATTGCTCACTGAAATTGCTATGGTGGGCAGTTTCATTACCACCTAGTTGCTTTGATAGTAGGTATTATATGTTGAAGAATTTCACATTGGTGGCATATTTTCTCTGTATCTATGTGTGTGCAAAAGACATTGCCTTTTATTTAAAATGTAACTTGGTAGAGGAAAACATTTGAGTCACAAGTTCATTTTCTGAGACATTTGTTTCCAAGGGATGTTATAATGGTGTTAGATTATTGAGTGTTTTCTTATTCTGTTTTATAACCTGACTTGTCTGTTTTGGATACCTATACAATTGCTCTTTGAGCAATTGTCATGAATTCAAAGCCTGAGCTATTTAGCAGGTTCTCGCAAACATGTGTCAAGGGAAATAAGACAGGAGGAATTATCACAGGTAAATTATCATCATACACAGTTTTGTTGCAAATTTTCAGAGTACTTTTCCTTAGGAAGGAGAGAATATGAGGGAAATGGCAAGAGAAGAGGTATGGAACAGCCAAAAGTTAGAGGGAAAATATTCATGCCTCCTTTTAAGTTCATTAATCTTGTCTTCTCAACATCCCACTATTATGGCAGTATTTAATATTAATTACCCATATAAAGACACTCTGGAAAATTATAAGCATTCTGGGTATTGTCTTTAATATATTGATTTTGAGACAGGGTCTACATGTTTATCCCATAGTATCTGTCCTAGACATGCTTTCTCACTGAGATTTTCTATTTTATGCTGTTTGTTTTCCAAGTCTGTGTGAGCACAATATGAATGCATTTACATTTCTTACTGTATTTTTTCTTTTAGTACTCTCACAATCCTTTGACTTTGGGTTTTGTTATTTATCACACCTATTACTTATAGTTCTCATTTCTATAGTAGCACATAAATCATAGAGAACTAGTTTTTTTCTATTTATTTCTTGAAAGTATGATTTATACACATGGTATTTAAAATGTCTTTATGTTTCAATAAATAATAATGCCCATGCAAAAGAATTTTTGTAAAAATAAAATACATAGGTAGAGGGCCTAGACCCTGCTCCAAAATATGTGACAGACTTTGATGATCCCCCATTGGGAGGTCTCACTCTCCCTGGGGAGTGGATGAGGAGTGGAACAGGGAGGTAGGTAGAAGGGTTTGATGGGGGGCATGGAAGGAAGGATGGGAGGGAGAGGGATTGATATCTAATATAAGATTCTTTCTAATAAATAAAACAGATAAAAGATAACAAAATGTACCATCATATGTTTAAAGACCATTAAAATCTTATTTGTTATAGGCTAATATTTATGTGTTAGCCTTAACTTTAGTGCTAAATAACTATGCTTATAATTAAATTACTAGCACATGCATGACTATACAATTAGTTCTCAATTTCTTATAGTGCACTTGAAATTCAGATATCATCGCTGACTCTAAAAACATGTGTCATCTGTAAATATGTGTGTAATGAAATCTTTCAACAGCAATGGCAGCAGAGAACACCGAGGTTGGGCTGTGTGGACTGGTTCTTGCAGGATGCCTGTAGCTATGGTGACTCATCCTCTGAATGATTTGGAGGATGCCCTATGTTGTCCTACAGCTTAAGATTTGCAGGCAGTTTTTGACAACCTGAGTTTATAGCATTTAGACTCACTGAGCCATCTACTCTCAGTAACAGTTGGTTTCCTAAATGAATTGACAAGTAGGCACATCACAGTGGTGCTTTGCTTTATTGTCTCTGGTATTAGAAATAAGTTTTGCTTTAGAGGAGAAAATAAAAATCTTTGTGCTCAGAGTGCCTTTCAATGTCTTTAAGTATCATTATGCCTAAAAATGACAAAAAGTAGTTTGAATAATTTATTGGTGCTAAAATTTCACATTTTGAGACATCTATTTTATGGCTTTCCTGAGTATCTGAGCAAACACCTCTCTGGGATTTAACAATTTGTGTGTCTACTTTCTTAGGTAAACAATAAATTGCTTTCATCTTTGAGTAAAAGTTGCCATGACAACTTGGCAAGCTTGAGCTATAGAAGTGAGTACCAAGTCCTTAGCTTAATTTTGGTATTTTTAAGACCTGGTATTGTTTTGAGAAATTCCGACTTAGCTCAAAATTAAAGGCATCATATCACATAATGCCATCAGTGATATATATTGCAGCCCATGTTTTGCATAATTTTGTAGATAAGTCATTATCTTGTTACATTGTTATACATCATGATAAATACAAATTATTTGCTTAAATATTAAAGAGATTAAGAAGAAAACCAGTTTTTTTCATTGTTCACTTCTATCTTGATGTTGAACTCTACTCTTAATTGGTGAAACTTTGTGCCTTATTAATTCTATGTGAATTGAAGTCATAGAACCAGTTACTCAGTATGCCTAAAGATTGTGTTGTGGACCTTAGTGTTACTGAGTTTATTACAGTTTATAATAAACTTGTAACAAACCAACATCGAACATTTTCTCCAAAGCCATCTTTTCTAATATTCATTAAAACTAAAGAAAGTTATCATTATTTGCTATTCTGACTTGATGCCTTTTGGCAAGTTACACAAGGCTCCATTTTTGTTCTGTGACTATAGAATGCACTGATTATGAATGTGTTTGTTACCAAGACCTAAAAGACTTGCAAAAACAACTTATTCAGTCTTGTCCAATTTTTACTACAGATAAGAGCCATTTAAAAAAAAAATCAGGATTCATCTATTGAGGTGACATGTGATAAAAGAAGATGAACAAGTACATGCAGATTATTACTAAAGGAAAAGATGATTATTTCCTTTAGTGTTTGCCACTTTGTCCTTATTTCTATGTGCTTCCTTTATTTTCAGCAGTGTCCCTATGATGCTAATGTGGCAGCTGTATTAAATCTTACATATAGACATCCAAGCAAGAGGAATAAGGGAACTTACATCCTCTGAACTCTTAAATGCCTTACCAATGGTCCATCTTGCTCTGATATTCACACATGCCTGCTGAATTCCATGGCTGGAAGAACAGCATGACTCACTCTCTCTCTAGTGAAGAAGTGAGAGAGCGACAGAGAGGGAGACTGAGCACAGTGCTTTTGGTCCTTATGTGTTTTGTTATGAGGCTGTGAAAGAAAGGCCCAGAAAATCACAAGGATACCCATCCTCCCAGCTTCAGGGTATCTGTTTTCCATGTCCTTTGAGTTTCCTCTTTCTTCTTTCTTGGCAGAAGTTTTCTGCACCCAAAATCTAACTAGAACTTTACTTATAAATTTTATTAAATCTGTGCTTAACATCCATTTCCCTCATCATTTGCATGATGAATTGTATTGTTTCTTTTAGGAATGATACAAAATCCATTTGATTACTGGTAAGACCTGAGAATTCCTTTAATTTCAATAATCAGTTTCCGTACATATTAATCTGATGATCTGTGAAGACATACTAGGGATTCTGGTTTTGATTGAGTGCCCTCATACTTCAGTTTTATTCCAGTAACACTTTGATAATAAGTGTATTAGACAGAATTCAATCCTGAGACTTTATTGCCCAAATCATAGGCAATTTGTCCTATATAACTTTTTCTTATATTTAATTGAATGTCTTAAGATATGTTCTATTTAGTGACACCTCAAATTCATGAGCTCTATTTCATTTGTTTGTACATGATTGCATGCAATCATGCATATCCATGGAGTATATATATATTTCAGGGCACTGGATGTGCATATATGTATAGATACATGCAGAATGCAGAAGTCGATGTTGGATGCCTTTCTCTATAGTTCAACAGCTTTTTTTTTTTGAGTCAGAGTCACTCCTGGAATGTGGGTTCACAGAAAAGAAAGCTGGCTGACTAGTGAGCTCCAGTGATTTGCTTGTTCCCATCCCCTCCATAATGCTGAATAAAAAGGCACCTCTTTATGACTAGGTAAAAAGGCTCAGTGGTTCCTCCAGGGGACCCAAGTTGGGTTTCCAACACTCCATTAAGATACCTCACAACTGCCAGTAGCTCTTGCTACAAGTGTCCTCTTCTGGCCTCCAAAGACACCAGCACTGATGTATGCAAACCAACACACCAGAACAAAACACAGGGAAAAATGTTCATATAAATGCATATAATTAAATGTGAAATTAAATATCTTTTTTAAATGATGTGTGTTATTAGGTAATTGAGATACAAACAGAGATTGTCATGTTTGCCTAGCAAATGCTTACCAGAGGAGTCATTCAAAGGCCTTCATAGGCATCATTGTATTTTATAGCTAACACATGTATATGATCTGTATTATCCAAATGTCACCTTATTTTAAAACATTCACTTTCCACATTGAGCTGGAAACATGAGAAATAAAATATCTCTGCAAAGCACTATATGAGACAAATAATGAGAATTCAAATAAAAGTAGATTTTAAGAACCCAAATTAAGCAATTGTCTGAATTTCTAGGACCATTAACTAAATTCAGGCCCAAATATATTTTTAGAATAATTAATTTTATTATCACTCAGTGTAATTAGAGCTATGATCTTCAGTAAATATCTTTAATTCTGACATTTTTGTCTTGTTAGCATTTAGGTGTCTACTATTACTGTGATAAAAAAGAAATGCATGGTGCACAGAATATAAATTTGTTTATAATTTTATTTTGTATTGAACTGTTTCTTCTAAAATGGATGACTTGTTTTACATTTTTCATTTCAATTCACTTCTCTAAGAGTCTACTTAAACCATTTGCTAGACTGAAGCTCACTGATATCTTTAATTACAGAAGAACTCAAATAAAATTAGTGGAAATATTACAGTTCTTAATGTTCATCGTTTTCCAACAATGCAGGAGGACACAGATCACAATTACTACATATCTCGGATATATGGCCCAATGGATTCTGCCAGCCGAGATCTTTGGGTGAACATCGACCAAATGGAGAAAGACAAAGTGAAGATTCATGGGATACTGTCCAACACTCATCGGCAAGCAGCTGTAAGTACTTTGAAATCTAATGTTTCTTTTCTTCACAGCAAGAAACGTGCCCAATTAATATGTGGTCGGTTTCCAAGGACTCAGTGTTATGAGTAGCGTTTTCCCTGACGGTCTTGTCCCCAAACCAAGCCAGCCCCAAATAACACACAGGAAACTTTAATCTGTCCACCTGTATTGGCAGTTTGTCAGTCCCTTTTCTCTCTGTCCTGCAGACTGTCTGGCAGACTCTTCCATAAATCTGGAACACTGTAGCAATGTCCATCTTGTATCAACAGTCATTTTTCTGTGGGTCCTGCATGTCCAGTTTATACAGCATAAAGTCAAACAGTCCAGACAAGAACAGTATCTTGCCCAAATGGCTAGTCTTGCCATATTGAAAGCAAACTCCATAACAAGTTTCTTCGATGTCCATCTTCCTTTCTGATGAAGGTGGTATTGTCAGGAGCAGTTATGCTTCACTGTTAAGAAAAACCCTAAACTATTTTAAATGCCATATTCTATAGGTCTTTGAAAGGTTTGAAGAATGTCTATTATCTCAAATACATCTCTGTATATCTAGAAAACATAACTAACCTAACTCCAAGTTTTGACTATTATAGGTAACTATCTATAATCTGTACTAAATTATACATTTCTAAGTGAGCTATATAAATACAATATCTAAACAAGAGGAGAAATATACATATCACAAAATTGACCTTAAATTTGTATCAATAAATGAAAATCCATTCCAAAACAAAGTATTTATATCTATACCATAATCCCCTTTTTACCTTTAAAAAGATTGGTTGTGGTCATTCACCATTTATAACCAACCCTATTTAAATGAAAACAAACATTTATAAATAATATTTGGGAATTTCTGCATTGTTCTTTCCAAACTGCTTCCTGCTGGTAGGGGGCGCTGTCATGGGGATCCTAAGAAGATGAAGAAATCCTGGCTATAGTAATCTGAAAGGCTGCCTTGTCTCAGTCTGGAAGGAATCCACAGCTTTTCATTTTCTGTGAAAAAAAAAAAAAATAGAAATTCTTTTCTCCAGTGACCTGTCCTTAGATGTAAATTCTGGAGTCAAAGTATTTTTAAAATATATAAATTGGATTAATCCAGCAGCATTTATTTTAAGTTGTTGCTATTTCCTCAGCAGTAAAAGACAACAGAACAGCATATAGTGTGCAGACTCTTTTTGTCATCTCCATCTTTACGTGGCTTTTTTATTACTCTATTTCTTCTACTTCTATATTTTCATTACTTGAGACAGGGTTTCTCTGTGTAATTTTTTCTGTCCTGGAATTAACTCTGTATATCAGGTTTACTTTAAAATCACAGAGATCTGTTTTCCTCTGCCTCCAGAGTGCTGGAATTAAAGGCATGTGCCACCACACCCAACTACTCTCTTTTTATTATTCTTTTTTAAACCATTATATCCTGCTTCTTTTTCTCTCCCAACCCTACATATATTTTAAAACACACAGTAAACCTTTAGAGGTCTTTCTTAATCTGAATTTGTCTTTACTGTAAATCTTTATCTTTTTCTGGCCACGAGTCTTTTATCTGGTAAACAAAATTGCTAAAATGAAAGCCACAGCTGTATTAGCCACAGTCTATCTAAGATGGTGGCTGGTATTTTATCACCAGAACTGACAGCTGTGCTCACTGCCTTGGTCTATACTGCCATCCAGCAGCATGTTGCCGTCTTGGAGATGTGGTCACTGCCATTGCCAGCTCTAGTTGTTATCAGAGCTCTTTAAAAGCCTTGTTTTTTTTTTTTTTTTTTTTTTTTGCCGCTTATGCTGAGTCAGGAAATCTCCCTTAAAGGAGCAGCACAAGTTTCTGCTTGTCTTTAGCAAAATAGAGTCCAACTGAGAAAATGCTGCTATCAAGAACCCTTGCTTGTCTCTGTTCTTTTGTTTCTAAAACCCTTTCTTAAGCTTTTCTTCCACTTAAGTTTTAAGTGGAAGTTCTTAGTAGCCACGATGAAGGTGCCATTATATTATGAGTAGGTTTTTCCCTGCAGGTCTTGGCCCACTGCTGCACCGGCCCCAAATAATATACTGAGGCATCGTATTAGATATAATTCTGTTGGCCTGTTACTAGTTTCTCATCAGCTAGATCTGTCTTAAATATTAACCCATTTCTAAATATTTCCACATGGCCTCATCTTACTGGAGAGAGGGCCTGGACTTCTGTTCTCTCAAGTCTCTACATGCTGACTCCTCCTTACTACTTCCTCTCTCCTCCTTGTCTCCTACTCTTGCCTATCTTGCTTTCCTATTGGCCAACAGTATCATTTTCAGTTTATGCAACACTTTAACACTTGTTTGATTGTGAATAAAATCCCATACTTGTGTTTATTGTTTCTCATGTCAGGAAAATGTAACAAAATACAGTTGTGATTAGGACAACATGCACTGACCAAGTGACAGGCTTGAGGAAAGAAAGTGTATATAAGGGGGAGAAATAATACAGAAGGCACCAAATTGGTATATATGCCTGGGATCATTATCGACCATTGGCCACCCTTGGAGCAAGTAATTTATTCTGAAGCACTGTTTGAACACAAGTCTAGAAGCTTTGGAGTATAAGAGTTATTCACATAATATACTCCTACATGAAGCTACCACCAATTTCTGAGTCATTATACCAGAACATATGCTTAAATTAACTTTATGATTCAGATATTATTGGAAAGACCACCACAAACATATACCACCCCTTTACACAACTCTCACACACACTAAACAAAATAATTATAAAACTGAAATATAATTAATACCCAGTTGCTGAAGATAAGAAAGCTGAGTCCTGCGCAACCAGTAAGTCTACTTACAGTAAACTTGAGATGCTAAAATAGATAGTCAAACTAGCGACATTTGCTAAAATGTGTAAAAATTAAACATACAAGACTTCAGCATGTGAAGGGCTTTGTTCCTGAGCCTGGGTCCTGAGCTCCATCCTCTTCTGGGACCCACTTAGTAGAATAAAACCAAATCTTGAAAGTTGTCCTTTCACCTCCACACATTAAGCATGACACAAATTTGTCCACAAATATACATACATACAAGTAAATTATAAATAACTGTAAAAATTAATAATGCCTGATTCCAAGAGGTTTTTTGGTGATCATTTCATGGTAAAAGCTCATTTGGCACTTTAAATTTCCCTTGGTTTTACCAACATGGATAACAATGGGTACCTTGTTGCCCACTAAGCCCGGACACCCTTGATTCAATATGACTTGAAAACTAGGCACAATTAGTTTAAGTTTTAGATTGTTACTGTCATTATCTCTCCAAAAACAGAATCAGGAGTGTTCCTGGTAGTAGTTTCTTAGAGAGGCAGTGACTTCATATATGTTCATTATGAAAAGTATTGGTAATGACCTTTGCTGTGTATATGTGAAACTTCTCCTATTGCACATCACAGGAGACAATTAAATGAAAGATAATTATAATGATAAGCCACTGAATGTTCACCAGACTGAACATGATTTTTTGGCTTAGAAAAAAATAACTATCTCTTCTTGTTAAGTTCTGTAATCCCTTTTTTAAAAAATTATTATTTTATTTTTTTTCATATCCAGGAAATCCTAGGCAAGATGGCCAACCTTGAACTGATTTATTGTAAGATTTAGAATAGATCCTCCTAAGAAAGGGAAATGAAAAAGATAAGATTAAAACAAAGCCTAACTGGGATTTGTTACTTTTGTTAGTCTTCTGATTCCATTATAGTGCCAAATGGGGTAAAATACAGCTTCAGAAATTTGAGTGTTAGCATAATTTTTACATACAGATTCCATGAAGTGACCAGTCCACTGTTAGTTGTTGTGGGTAGTTTCTACTGTGAAATAAATCATTGTTCAAGTAGCTGACTTCTTGCTTGTGGAGATGGTAGCCAACTTTATTCTGTGCACTCCCAATTGTGAGGCAGATTCTGTGTCTTGCCTCTACTTAAGATTTTCTTCACATTAGGTTTGTTTGTCTTGTGACTTGTGGAAATCTCATTTCTGTAGACAATTACGTTCTCCTTGTTGTTCCTGTGCAGTTGTGTTAGTACTTTTAGCAATTTGGGCAGACCTGGGCTTCTCACTAAAACTTATCTGTTGTTCTATACATTCATTTTTACATGTTTTCCATTGCTAGGTGCCTTCCTTTATATAGTCTTCAATTATGATCTTGGCTTGCACATAAATTCATTTGCAACCAGGAACAGAAAATTAAAACAGAAAAACAAATTGTGACAATGTCAGAACTTTAATGTCAAAATTACGTTAAGCAGAGTGCATTAGTACATTAGTAAGGCCCCACTGCTTTCACCTCTCAGCACAAACACATATGTACACACATACATACACATGCATACTCTTATATATAAACACAAACATACACTGGCATATATGCCCATACAGGTACATGAGCACATAAATAAGCACACTTACATAAAGACGCAGAAACTCAAACACATGCCACACACACACACCTGAATAGGCACAAATATACACAGAAAATCATACATGAACACACACAGAGCTACAAATACACACACTAAGACACACAGGAACATACATATGTGCACACAAGCTTGGGCACACACAAAGAAGTGCACACACAGGCTCACATGAACACCTACTGGCACACACACAGGTACACAAGGCACACATGAACACACACAGGCACACATGAACACATACATACATACAGGTACACAAATGCATACACAAGAGTTCACACATAGGTACACATGCACACACAGAGCCACATACACAGACACACAAGGCACACACACACACACACGCACACACACACACACACACACACACACACACACACACAACTATTTTTCCTCTAGATTTTCCACAGAGCTTTGCTAATCTTCAAGAGAAAACAGGAAATGGAAGGCAGGAATGCACCTAAGGGAAGATTTCCTCATGTCTCTTAGACAATACTTGATGGAATGCTTACTGGCAATTTGGGTATAAGTGGAATTTAAATTTAAACCCTAA